AAAGTTAGACTGTATGAATTGCCGAAGAAAACTTAAGACACTGGCAACATTATAAAAGCACCTCACCCCCTAGAGACAGTAGAACTTTCATTTGCTGAAATCTTTACGTCCATCATGCCACAGGGGCAACCGGAAAACAATTGTTTTCGAATGTGGTTAATATACACTTTATTATTATTATTATGTTTATTCAGGCAAAGGCATAATAAAATTACACATTACAAATATCACATAAGCAATTCCATAACAATTAAAATCAGTAATAAATTATTGTGGATTTCTTAAAATTATTAATTATAAAATATAAGATATCACAAAAGAATTTCACATACATTAAAATATCACAGTTTAAACTAGTATCGCAGAAATTAAATTACACTGTGCTTGCAAATCTTCTAAGTAAAATAGTTGTAAATTTTAGAAATATCAATAAAAAAGAGAGAAATTTGATAAAACCTGATGAAAATGCCTTTGGCCTTGGATTACCCATAAAGCCTATAAAATAGGCTTATTTCCAATAGGGTCCATATAAGGTGTAATCATTGCGGTTGAGATGTAAAGCCATGGAAAATGAGATTGAATTAATTTTCGCAGCATTAACTATAAATGAAACAGAGCACTACATTTGAAAGAAAATTACATTTACATAGAAGATATGAAAACAAATACTCAAAGTGAATAAAATGTTTTGGCTCATTTCAGGGCATTTATGAAAAAGGATGGGATTTGAAGATATATTACATAATAATATAATATGAACAATAATATAACATAATATGAACAATAATATAACATCACTACCCGTTCAACCAGACGCAAAGAAGTGGAGGTTGAGCTCAATAGTAGACGAAGGGGTTGTCAAATTCGCCTTTTGATTGTAGCATCAGAAATTGTTTTACTTTGTTTTTAAAATGATATTTATTTTTAGAATTTTTAATATTTTCTGGAAGGGAATTCCAATCTTTTGCGGCCGAGTAGAAAAGGAAGAACTTTCTATGCTTTTAACGTTTTTTATTGAGAAGTTCATCGTTCCAGATCTAGTACCAAAACAGTTTTTGTTTAGAGAGAAAAGTTCATATAAATATTGTGGACATTTACCATTATAGATGTTAAAAGTATGGTTGAGGCGAAGTTGACGGACCCTTCGTTCTACATTAAGCATGCCTAGTTTTTCTAATTCAGTGACAGTGATCCTTGTTCTGTTATCAACGTTAAGAATAAAGCGGACCATTTTGTTTTGGGTAGTCTGGAGTATACCTTTGAGTTTCTTAGTAATTCCTTCATACCAGGAGGTGCACGCATAATCAAAGTGGCACTGAATCAGAGCAGAACATAAAGTTTTACGAGATTTTAGAGATAGACATTTACTATTTCTGTTCAAAAATTTAAGTCTTTGGTTGATTTTTTGGATAATGTTGGAGACAATTTCCTCTCCAGATAGAAATTTATCTATCGTAACACCGAAGTATTTTACTGAAGATTGCGAAACAATGTTTTGACCGTTACATGAAATTTTGAAATCATCCTCGGGTACTTGTCCTAATTTTCTCTTTGGTCCAAATAAAATACTTTCTGTTTTACCTAAATGTAATGATAGTTTGTTGTCAACGAGCCAATCATGACATGATTCCAAAACTAAGGATAATTTTGAAGAGATTGTTTTGGGACAGTGATGTGAAAAAATAATTGCATTGTCATCAGCATACAGAAGTAGTTTACAGGAAATGTCTATCCGCATGTCATTTACATAAATCAGAAATAAAAGATGGCCCAGTAAGCTACCCTGGGGGACCCCACAATGGATGTTGTCTATTGCGGAGGTCACTCCATTTAAACTCACTAATTGGGATCGATTTTCTAAGTATGATTTAAACCAGTTGCAGGACTCGACACCAATGATTTTCAATTTCTCACATAGGATCGAATGGTTCACCGTGTCGAACGCTTTTTGTAAATCAAGTAGGACCATGCCTGTATAAATACCTTTGGCTGTTTGAGATTTGATTTGATCAATTAAATAAATTAAACAAGAATCAGTAGAGTATGACTTCCTAAAGCCAGATTGGAGTTCATACAATAAATTATTTTTAGCAAGAAAACTTTCTAATTGGTTGTAAACGGCTTTTTCCAAAATTTTAGACACGATGCTTAAAATGCTGACAGGACGGTAATTTTCCGCCTGCAGTCTACCTTTCTTTTTGAATAAAAGAATGAGTTTCGCAGTTTTTAGATCGTCCGGAACTACGCCTACAGATATTGAAATGTTAATTAAAAATGTGACTGGAATTTTGATCATTGGTGCAGCGTCCCTCAGAAATCTAGCAGGAATTTGGTCGAGGCCTGTACTTTTACATACATTTGGGTTACATAAACAAAATATAAACAAAATCTTCTGAAACATGGCGAAGATGAAATTTTACCCCCTTTGGATTCCTTTTAGAGTAAAAATCATGAAATAATTTGGTAGAATAATGATAAATTCCTTTACATAAAGGTAATTTATCTACAAGTTTTGAAGCAATAGTTGTGAAAAATTTGTTGAAATGGTTGGCTATTGTAACAACATCATGGCAGTTTTCACCATCAATATGTAAAACTGTTTTAGAATTTGATTTCCTGCCTCTTTCATAGCCCAAGCCCCTAAATTGTTTCCAAAGATTTTTTGAATTTCCTTTGTTTTCTTCAATTTTGCTTTCGAATTAGTTGTTTTTGGCTTTTTTGTATACGATTTCTTAACTGACAAAATTGACCGTAAAATTCTGGATTATTAGACTTTTTAAATAAATTTAGTTTTTTGTCCCTTTCAGAAATGAGGTCTAAAATATCGGCCGTAATCCATGGTTCAGTTCGCTGTTTTAGTCGAACTTCCTTTTTAGGAGCGACATGGTCTAAAGCCTCCGTAAAAAGGTTTTTAAAAATTTCCCAGGCTTGGTTTATGTTAGGGGCAAGAAAACATTTTTCCCAATTAGCCTCGGCCAATTTACTAATAAATGAGTCTTTGCAATAGTTCTTAGTTGACCGGATAGTGATATTGTTATGTTTATTATAAACACTTTTTGTAATTTTGCGAGTGCAAAAGACAGGAAAATGGTCCCTAAAACCTATATGTAAAACACCAGACTGACTTATCTTTTCCTTGGAGTTACACAAAATATGATCTATAAGTGATGATGAAGTATCAGTGACCCTAGTTGGGTTTGAGACAATTTGTTCAAAGTTCAAAAATTTCAAAAGACTACAATACGTAGAATATAATGGGTTGTTTTTATTTTTTAAACAGATGTTAAAATCACCCAGAATAATAATTTCTCCTTCCAAGTTTAGATTGTGTAAAGTGTCTTCGAAGTTATCACAAAAGTTATTTTGGTTAGGTGGTCTGTAACATGTACCCACAGTGATAGGTTTAGTTTTTGGTAGGAGAATGTTTATAAAAAGGAACTCGTCATTCTCATTTGTCACGTCCAATGGGGTGAAGGATAAATCCTCTCTGACGTAGGTGCATACGCCGCCGCCTGAACGGTTTCTGTCTTTACGTAGAACAGCGTATCCGTCTATGTGTATTTCAGAGTCGGTAATGGAACCATCAAGCCAGGACTCGGTGACAGATAAGACAGCAGCATTAGTTTTGCTAGCAATGTTACGGAGTTCATGAGTTTTACAATAAAGAGATCTAGCATTGAGATGGATAAAATGTAGACCTTTATTTTTGAAACACTGAAATGTATCTTCTTGATGGTGATCAGATTCAGCAGTGGAAGAAGGGAGGTCACTCTGATCTAAATTAGTGCTATAATCTGGAGAGACTCGCTCATCAGTTTGTATAGTGATGCTATCATCAAAGAAGGAGTCCGAAAGGATTGGCAGAGAGCAGGTAACACAGCTCCATTCACACTCAGAATTTGACAGGTAATCGTAGGAAGATTTGGATAAGTCAGTACACTTAACGTGAAACCATAAATCACAAATATCACAGGCAATGGCTTTTTGGTTTTTCCTGACGGACTTTTCACATTTTCCACATGGATATTTTATGGGGCCAGGATTTGAGGCCACTTCGCCGCAAAGAAGTATGCAAAAAGTCAGTAGGAATCTGTTTTTATTGGGCCTATATGTGCAGTACACTGACGAATGACATTCGTCAAAACTGGTGACGTTGTGGACATAATGCCGCTGGAAAATTGTGTGGTTTACAAAGTCATTTGTATTTACCTGCTCCAGTGAGTTACATGCATAAAAGCCAAGGTTTTCAATCTTGTATGTAATGTTGTTTTCATTTAGCCTGGTGGTGACATTTGGCCATATTCTTGAGTAAAAACCAAAAAATATGATGACAAGAAAAATTCCTGCGGCCATCTCAACCGGAAGCGGAAACTAAAAACGTTGAAAATGTTGAAAATGTGGGGAAAGTGGTGTGTCTTTCTGTTTTATAGAACCGAAACCATTTTTTTCGAAAAGGAAGTTCTTACCATGAGGTAATTCGATTTTTTTTTCTAACATAACTTTTGAAAGTTTGCTGAGAATAGAACAAACCGCTTTGATGTACTCAGTTGTTATTGGGCTTAAAATCCTGACTCCCCAGCCCTCCCTACTTCCTCTTCAAAAATTGTGGAAATTAAAAAGTAATTACAAACAAACAAACAAACAAAAATAAATGTTAAAAAAATGGATGAATGAATAATACTGTAAAAACAAGATTTATTTGGCCGCTGAATTCAATATGAATTCAGGTAGTAGATTACAGGTAAACTATTAATCTAAGTGTAAAGGACCGTAGGGGATTGTCAACGTCACTTGCCGGTACGAGATCTTCCTTGAGCTACGGTATGAATTCTAAGAAACCGACATATCGTTCCAGTTGAATGACTTTGTGACGGACGGTCTCAGTCACTGTTATTGATAAGGTACCCGGATGGATATCTTTATAACGACATTTTACAAATAGCCTAAAAAGGGACGTTTAAGTTAGTAGTCAGTTCGGTCTGGAATCTTGGCCAGAGACCATGTATTTGCGCAGAGTGTTAATATTAATGATGGTGTCCATTCTAGGACGATCGGCACACGGACAATTCCAGAGAATGTTCCAGGAATCTACAATATTGGATAAACCGGCAGGCACAGGAAAGATTCTTATACAGTCTGAACTGAAAATTGAAACCATGGTGAGTGTAGTGGACTCGTGTTTTTGTTTTTTGTTTTTGTTTTTTGTTTTTGTTTTAAGGGAATGGGTTGATAATGAATTAAAGATAGTTTGACAAAGGGGAAATGTACCGCGTTAGGGAGAACGGTATTTCACGTGAACATTACATGTGCAGATGAAATATTTCTCTGAATGTCAACAGGAAAGGAAACGTAGTGATCGCTCAAGTTCGGAGAGACTGATTTGTAAGTCATTTTATGGTATTAGTTTTATTGTTCCTGAAGACAATGAAGAAATGCTTTGAAATTGAAGATACCTCCCATGGGGGTCGTTGAGTCATCAAACAGTTTACCAATGATAACGTCTAAACTGCCTTCATGACTATGTTTTCTATACATATCTTGTATTAATGTAAAAATCATTTGCAGAAGAGAAATGTAGCATACATCCTTAAGGTATATTTCTGTTTTATGTGAATGAAATTGTGTGAATACCTGTAATGGTATAACTTAATTTGACACCATTGTAACAGATATGTCTGTGATAGCTACTTCGAGACACGTGTAAAATGTACAGGACCATGCCATTCAGTACTTATAACAAAGTCTTAAATACACATAAGATGCCAATTATTACTCTCCCAGAAAATTTCTGTTTCTTTCTTTTTTTTCTAACGACGTTTCTGGTCATTGTGCGTCCAGAAAAATCTTAAGTCGACCTTAAACGCGTTTGATCTCTGTAGTCCATTATATGTAGTAATTTCTCCCATCTCTTTAGTATATATTTCATCATAGATAGATAGATTTACCAATGATACTTAGAACCACAACTTTTCAAAAGCACAACCTTCCCATGGTGAGACTAGAATTTCACTTCCTTGTTCCAAATGGTGAAATGATACACTAAGATTTCGCTTACATTACGAATATAAGTGTTCAATCTATCAATGGCATTATAGCCATCCGTAGATTCGTACAAGAATCGATTTGATCATTAATGCGGAATAAACAATATTAAAATTTATCTCTATAAACTGTAAATCGTTTAATGTATTTTGTAATATTACAAATATTCTACATACGTTTGATATGATGTAGTGACCTCTGAGACCCACACGAATGTACATGTACACGATTTATTGCTCGGGGCACACGTGCCAATCACACTTCCGGGTCTTATCTCTGATCACTCTCCGTACCTGATGTCACAAATATCGTGACAGTTTGATAATTTTTCATCATTATAAATTTATATCTCTTTGATATACAATGATTCTTTCAGTGATGGTGATTGATCAAAAGTCGATTCGTGGTATTTAACATATTAGACACATTGCAAATAATTTATCAACATAATTTACAACTTCACAGGAATAAAAATTTGATTTACAAGATGATGATGATGATGATGATGATGATGGTGGTGATGATGATGATGATGATGATGATGATGATGATGATGATGATGATGATGATGATGATGGTGGTGATGATGATGATGATGATGATGATGATGATGGTTTTACTTTTTTAATGTATCTAGGAATGAATGTAATCTGAATTACAGTAAAATACCTGTATGATTATTAATGTATGTATGTTTGTTATAAAAAAAACTGAATATTATATTTGTTCTCTTCTACAGCATATGCCCGACGTGTGTAAAGTAAAAGCCAAAAAAGGAGATACAGTCGTGTTCGACTTTGACGTAAGAAGCTTTGGTCATTTCATTCTTTAATAATATTATACATCAATTTGATGATGATGATGATGATGATGATGATGATGATGATGATGATGATGATGATGATGATGATGATGATTCTCTTTCACAAATAAGTTCTCTTTCACAAATAAGTTTTCGTGAGTTTTGAGTGATAAATACCTCGAAATCTTGAGAAATTCCATGAAAATATTTGAAACAACTCGACTTCCTGAGATGATATCTCGAGATTATCAGATTATAAATCGCCATTTCTAAATAATAAATTAAAGAATTCGAGAAAATAACTCTCACTAATGTTTTGATAATTCGATATTTTGATGCCATACATATATCTTTTCATTTGACGTCATATGTGTTTTGAATCAATATGACGTCATTTTACTTCATTGATCATATAGCTATCCCAGTAATACGCATCCAACGAACAGTTGTTTGTTAGGGTCCAGTACCAATATTGGACCATACCGTCTATATTACTTACTAGATTCTAGATATATAATATGGATATAATATATTTTAGATATAAGGTATATAATACAATAAGATGAATGACGTCTTTTGTATGTATTAAGATAAATCTTAAATCTTATTTATATAATATATTAAGATAAATCTGACGTCTTTTGTATATGATATATTAAGATAAATCTGACGTCTTTTGTATATATTAAGATAAATATGACGTCTTATTTATATAATATATTAAGATAAATCTGACGTCTTATTTATATATTAAGATAAATCTACGTCTTTTGAATATATTATATATATATAATATATATAATATATATATTAGATATAATTTATATAATATATTAAGTATATATATTAATACATATAATATATCATGATAAATCTGACGTCTTTTGTATATATTAAGATAAATCTTACGTCTTATTTATATAATATATTAAGATAAATCTGACGTCTTTTGTATATATTAAGATAAATCTTACGTCTTATTTATATAATATATATATATAAGATATAATATATCATGATAAATCTGACGTCTTTTGTATATAATATATTAAGATAAATCTGACGTCTTTGTATATGATATATTAAGATATATAATATATTATATTATGATAAATCTGACGTCTTTTGTATATATTATATATTTTATTTATATATATATTAAATCTGACGTCTTTTGTATATATTAAGATAAATCTTACGTCTTATTTATATAATATATTAAGATATATCTGACGTCTTTTGTATATATTATATATAAATCTTAGATTGTATATATTAAGATAAATCTTACGTCTTATTTATATAATATATTAAGATAAATCTGACGTCTTTTGTATATAATATATTTTTATTTATATAATATATTAAGATAAATCTGACGTCTTTTGTATATAATATATTAAGATAAATCTGACGTCTTTTGTATATAATATATTAAGATAAATCTATTGTGTATATAATATATTAAGATAAATCTGACGTCTTATTTATTTGACATATTAAGATATATAATATATTACGTCTTATTTATATAATATATTAAGATAAATCTGACGTCTTTTGAATATATTAAGATAATCTTATATAATATATTAAGATAAATCTGACGTCTTTTGAATATATAATATATTTTATTTATATAATATATTAAGATAAATCTGACATCTTTTGTATATGATATATTAAGATAAATCTGACGTCTTTTGTATATAATATATTAAGATATATCTGACGTCTTTTGTATATAATATATTAAGATAAATCTGACGTCTTTTGTATATAATATATTAAGATAAATCTGACGTCTTGTGTATATAATATATTAAGATAAATCTGACGTCTTATTTATATGACATATTAAGATAAATCTTACGTCTTATTTATATAATATATTAAGATAAATCAATTCGTATTCCAGATATGGATAAATGACAACGAGACAAAATTCGAGACATCACAGGACACGGAAGAGAGGCCTGGTCAGAAAATGACTTTTGTCGTCGGTAAAAGGATGGTTCTCCAAGGTAAGTAGTTATATTTGTGATATCACGGGGATAAATTCAGCAAGATAATATACAGTGATATAATTAAAAACGTTTTAATTGTTAAAACATTATCATTTCATTCTTATAGATAATATTTGTCAAATATTTAAGCTATTTTGAGATGTATTTGGAATTACATGTATTCATGAATTCGTAATAACAAACTGTAGGGTGCAAGGCAAAGTAATTGATAATTTACGATGTATATACAAAGAAAATGTACATGTATTAAGCGACATACATAGAGAAAGGATATGCCATGATGCAGTGGGGTGGCGGAGCTGGAGTGTACAGGGAAAAATTCACATTGACAAGTAACCTCATACATTCTCACGTCCGACTGGGAAATCGAACCCAGAACGTCCGAGTGAAAGGCTAGTACGATGTTGATATCAGGGCAGTCAGTGACTAATCATAGACTGACTTCTGCGATATATGATTAATCGAGAAGTTCACAAAATTGAAAAATAAGAGCAATTTTTTGACTTCACTATGCGTTTGGTTACAATAAGCAGTGTAATTACAGTCTAGACAATGGAAGCTAGGTTCTTGGGGAGGTAAAGAAAAAGCTCACCTAGTATGTATACCTTAGGAGTACTAAGCTGATAAATGATGTTCATTATTTTCTAATTTAATCAGTATATGCCAGGTCAGTGGTAGATAAAACAAAGTAATATTTCACTTTAAAACCACGACATACCGTCAGCAAATTTCTCTTTTTCGATTGAAGTCCGGATGTACCAGATGACGAAATTAACCTCGAAACTATATGAAAACTACATCTGTAACAAATATATTATACCTATATCAAATTAATGATATTCATCTTGAAGTATATGTACAAGCCTCCGTCAGTTACGTCAAAGACGATAATTACAAGACCGTTCCAACTTGACCGTATAATCATTCCGCGGAGTTTTTTACCTGAGGTACCTGACAATGAATACCTTGACCGGAATACAGTTCGCCGTAGTACTTATGGTTCAATAAAGTATAACATTTTCAATAAGTTTATTTTGTTCTGCAGGTATTGAAGTTGGCATCACCGACATTTGTATTGGGTAAGTATGGAAGTTTATATGTCTGACTGTACTGTAGAGTGGGTAAAATTTTGCCCAAACGCAATATCAACTCCAAAAGTGAAGGTCGATTCGTTAACCTGCCGCCAGTCTGTTCACTTGTTGCCAAGTATCAGTCAATGTATTAATGCTATATATAATCTAAAAATGAGCTCAGTTGTAGTTATAACTACAGACATACTGGTAGTGTAAGAAACAGAGAATGCATGGTCAGTGTCTTAAAGTATCAGCTGTATTTTGGCGATTCTGAAGAAAGACAATAGTAGATCGCCATTTTTCTCTGTGCAGAGCCAAACTGAAGCCTTTATTTTTAGAAATTTTGTATGTAATCTATTTTTTCTGCATTACTGTTGAAAATTCAGACTATCAAAACTACACAGTTTTTGGTTCAATTTTTGTTACATGGGATTTTGTCTGATGACGTACGCCAAAATAATTGTTCTGTGCGGAAATATATTTCAAAAGTAATTTTTATGTAAATCCAGAAAGTGATTTTGTCAAATTAACGCACGTGCTGAAATACAACTGTTTTCAAGCACTGCTAGTGTATTCCGAAAATGGCCGCGTCAGTTGCAGGATAAATATTTATTCATTGCAAATATCGTCGTTTCGTCATATAAAAAAATCGTCCTTTTCAATAAAAAAAGATTGCTTGCTTAACTCCGTGGTTTGAATGAATTCCATACCATCATGCCACCCAATACTGAAGCAGCAGATGTATTTTCAAGATCGTAATAACAACAGGCCAATTCTTAAAATTCTATTTGTTTTTTGTAGAAATTATAGAGTTGTTTAAAGCTTTATGTGAAGCATTCTGGGATGATTGGGATTCATATTTGCGTAAACGATGAGTCTAACTCTCTTGAGGGGTGAGGCCCAGTGAGTCAAATAGATACAATTCTTTAAAATTAATTCTCTGTTGCAATGAAAATATTTTGACCAAAACTTGTTTTAAATATCTATACACGAAAGGGGGCGGGGAGAGAGAGGTGGGACCCAATATGGAAAGTAGAGGTTAGAGTTTAAAATAAATCTTATACTGCTTGAATGTGAAGTATATAAAGCATTTTGATGAAATTTGGGTTGAAGCTTAAAAACATCCAGGTAAACTACAAATGCCATATGAATACTTGTCCGAAATGTCTCCGATTTACATAGGTAATTGATGTCCCAATTTCATTTTGTTTTCTGTGTTTCTTTTTCATAAAGTTGTCAATTCTTATTGTCCTCTTTGTATTGACGCGCTAGAGTGAAAATGAAGTCTTACATCAGTATACTTCACCATGTTAAAGTATTGACAATGAAATGAAACTTAAACGAAATCGGATACAAAAATTATCTGAAATGAACCTTCAGTAATGGTAAAAGATAAGTCTAAATTATCTCCTGACAGTGGTGCTTGTGAAGTACTATATGTATATACATTACAGGGATATACTTGCTTTAGTAAGCTTGTGACATACACTCAGATTAGATCAAGAAAATTAATTTTTTCATTTTAATAAATTGTATACAGTATATGAGCAAGTTTATTCCTTCCAAACAGAGAAAAGAGAAGACTTAGGATACCACCTCACTTGGCCTGGGGAGAAAAGGGAATCCCGGATGTCATACCAGGTATGTACATATATTTGTTATCAGGCGGTCCGAAAGTCATACCAGGAACGTACATATAATTGTTATCAGCCGATCCGAAAGTCATACCAGGTATGTACATATATTTGTTATCAGCCGGTCCAAAAGTCATACCTGGTACGTACATATATTTGTTACCAGCCGGTCCGAAAGTCATACCAGGTATGTACATATATTTGTTATCAGGCGCTCCTAAAATCATACCTGGTACGTACATATATTTGTTATCAGCCGGTCCGAAAGTCATACCAGGTATGTACATATATTTGCTATCAGGCGCTTCTAAAATCATACCAGGTTTGTACATATATTTGTTATCAGCCGGTCCGAAAGTCATACCAGGTATGTACATATATTTGTTATCAGCCGGTCCGAAAGTCATACCAGGTATGTACATATATTTGTTATCAGGCGCTCCTAAAATCATACCTGGTACGTACATATATTTGTTATCAGCCGGTCCGAAAGTCATACCAGGTATGTACATATATTTGTTATCAGGCGCTCCTAAAATCATACCAGGTTTGTACATATATTTGTTATCAGCCGGTCCGAAAGTCATACCAGGTATGTACATATATTTGTTATCAGCCGGTCCGAAAGTCATACCAGGTATGTAAATAGATTTGTTATCAGCCGGTCCGAAAGTCATACCAGGTATGTACATATATTTGTTATCAGGAGGTCCGAAAGTCATACCAGGTATGTACATATATTTGTTACCAGCCGGTCCGAAAGTCATACCAGGTATGTACATATATTTGCTATCAGCCTGTCCGAAAGTCATACCAGGTATGTACATATATTTGTTATCAGCCGGTCCGAAAGTAATACCAAGTAGTTACACATAGTTGTTATCAGCCGATCCGAAAGTAATACCAAGTAGTTACACATAGTTGTTATCAGCCGGTCCGAAAGTCATTCCAAAGTGACATTAGCAGTAAATCGTTTCTGTTAAAGTCTTACTCAAGAGTTAAACGTAAAGCAAAGCTTTGACCTAGTTCCATTTGGTCTGTACGTCAGATAACCCACCAGAATACACGCAGTGTAAAAGCTGTACACTAAGTTCATGAAACATTGTGACCCATGTGTTAACTCAACTACATTTTTATCCTTGTAGAAAATGCGTACGCGACGTTTGAAATGGAGCTTCTAGAGATTGTACCCAAAACATGGTCACAATGGTATATAGACATGGTACAGCTATCATGTACGATTGGCTTTGCCGTGGGAACATTTTACTTACTTTTTCAACAAGTGCGTGCTGGCCGGAAACAGCGCAAAGATGCTGCGCGGCGGGAACGGAAGAGACAGAAGCTTCGTGCACAATGTGAAGAAGATGAAGAAGAACAAGAAGAATACGAAGACGAAGATGAATACGAAAATGAGGACGATGAAGATGCCGATATGGAAGGAAAAGAGGACGAAGAAGTTGAAGCTGCTGATAACGTTGATACAGAAAAACAGAATGACGAATGGTCAAAATTTCAAAAACATACAAAATCAGAGTAGACTATATATTTGTTAAGTGAAGTGAGTGACAATCAGAATTGTGTGAGTCGGTTTGTCCTGGAAGTTTCATCTCTCCGGACGTATTTCGACATTCTGGAAAGTACTTTCTCACGATGGGATAAACATTACATCCAGGAATGTTTTTTTTTTATAAAGGAAATTTTAGGGCATTTGCATAAATAAAAAATTAATTGATAATTTCAACACCAGAAACCTTCATATCAGGATTTGTTTTGTACAACAACTTTGCATGAGCTACTAACAGTGCGCTAACAGAACTAGTCCTTTGTTGTATTAATTTTTTCCCTATCTCATCTTGTTTTCTCAAGGACTGCTTTACAGATAGGGAAAATGAATTTAGACGTCCTTTCGTGTTTTCAATTGCACGGTCGGTCATATGATATTTTACATAATTACCTTCTTGCAGACTATGTCCTGTAAGCATTGCCATGTCCTGTAAGCATTGCCTTGTCCTTTTTCACACGTCGGTGGGACATATATGATGTGCGGTTTAAGTATTTATTTGAAGTTGTTTCCATGCCAAATTAAATATGTACAATAGAAACACAATCTCTTGTTTTTTCTTTGGTATAATCTACTTGACATTTTGACATTGCTTCCTCCGATAGACCAAGATTCACCTGGCGAAAGTTGTCGACGAAGCAGAATATGCTCACTCTAACCGTCTTATTCTCCAGGAGTCTCCGTGTGAATCTTTCTTCTTTCTTTTGTTCATATTTTGCCCTAGCTTTATTCAACTTGACTTTGGATGATGATTGTTTTTTTTTTCATTACCAAAAGGTATTGACAAACACAGTTTATACTCATCATACAGCTGTTTCGTCCTTCTAGGACTCGTCAGTGATGCTACATCATACAGCTGTTTCGTCCTTCTAGGACTCGTCAGTGATGCTACATCATACAGCTGTTTCGTCCTTCTAGGACTCGTCAGTGATGCTACATCATACAGCTGTTTCGTCCTTCTAGGACTCGTCAGTGATGCTACATCATACAGCTGTTTCGTCCTTCTAGGACTCGTCAGTGATGCTTAGGGCCTAAATTTTAAAGCCTAGGAGGCGAGTGAAAAAAATCCAAAGTAACTGAAAAAAAAAGTAAAAATATACAAGGGAATGTGAATTTAAGAAGAGCGTCAAATACATGTGTATAATCTTAGCCACGCAACTGTAATAAATAAACTAAATAAAAAACAAACAAGCGCTTATATTTACATCATAATTCTTTTTAATTCTATTGATATTTTCAATTATGCATAGCTTCGTTCGTCACCTACTTTCTGATCTAGAAATAGTTATGTCATACTTACATAAACAACAACAGCGCTAACAACAATACACATATATGTAAATACAAAAACAATTTGATACTAATTGATAACAGATAGGCGGGCATGCGAGCTGCAATTAAACTCTCAGCAAAGCTGATGGATGCAATTTGAACAAAATGTATACATTATGTTTGGCAAATATTAAATGATTATTGTAGATAAAAAAATAATATAGAATAAACATTATTACTTTCAATACCTATTTTATGAAAAATGTGCTATATATATATATATTCATCTATATATTTATATGTATATGCTTTGTTATCTTTTTTTCTTTATGTTTTAATGAAAGGACATAATTACTTTTCAGAATGACGAAATTCTAGTTTGCTTAGTCAGGAACTTTGAAAATTAAAACCTCCAAAATTGTCACAAGTTTCTATCTTTTTCTTCTTATATAGATTTCGTATTATGGTAATATGGACATATGTTATACGTGTCTTGATATTTTCATGAAAAAGATGACAGACTTTATAAGACGATAGGTATAGTTTAATAAACTATAAATATGTGCATGACTTTAATCCAATAATCCAATGAATTAAGAACACGTCTTTACCAGTGAAATTATATGTTTTATAATCACTCTCCAAGACTTCAGCGATATAAATAGCCTGCATATCAAAATGTCACGCCATTACCTCAACAACATACATACTACAAGTCTTAGTGATCCTGGTGCATTGTGGGTAAACCTTCAGAGGCCGGCTTAAGAAATGTCATAGGGTTAAAAGTATTCGGATTGCCAGGAAGTGTAACTTGAACCAGTAGTGGAAAAATAGCATTTTATGAATAATAATGGTGATTTTACAAAGGTTTGAAGTCACTTCGGGATTGTACAAGACACACAAGTGAATGACACATCTCAATACCAGTTAACAGTTACAGTAGAACCAATTAATGAATGAAATTCAGTATACACACGTTTTGTCTTTCTAGAACCCGTCAGTGATATATGGCTGTTCAGTACAAAATTTACGGAAGTCTTTTTACATAACATAAATAATTCATATTTGTGCCAACATTTTTCAATTCTGAGAAATATTTACAGAGCTTATCTGAAGTGTTATGTTTAATCGATGTATGTTCTTATTTAATATAGCGATGTACATGACTTAAAAAACACATACCATGAAACGTATGCCGACTTCAAAGCATTATTAGTATCGTAAGACATTGTAAGTAAATACTGTGCAAAACGGGACCATTGAGCATTAAGCATTGTCTATGTGTTTGGATTTATACAATATGATCAATGTACAATGATTGTACAAAAGAAACTGCAGGAAATAGCACAAGGTTTGAATTACTTAAAATAAAGCCAAGTATATAATGATGTATATATCATATAGCTGTTTCGCCGCTCTAGGGTTCAGGGATGGTAAGGGTCTAAATTTTGAAGTTTAGTAGGTGACTGTCAAATGTCAAAATGTAGATGTAGAGGCACATATTTCAATCAATTTCTTAATTAATATGCATGTGATAATTTCAAAAGAACAACTTCATGTGTATATTCTGAACTATGCCACTATTGGTATGACAGTACATATGATGTCAGTTACAATGATAACATACCTTATTACGAATACGTATAATACATATTCAATCTGGAACGGTTCTAGACCAACACGAGGAGAAAGGTTTTATTGCACGTGAAGAAAACGGAAGTGAAGGATGAAGCAGATATTGGATATCTTACACAGATGTAGAAGATTGTACAGAAGATACACGAGTGAATAGCACTTCAATATAAATTGCAGTTCAACCAGATTGATGAAGTGGACTGCACCATACAGATATTTCGTCCTTTTCGGACTTGTAAGTGATGATTAGGGCCCAAATTGTAAAATATATGGTACTGTCAGATTGTTACCTCTAAATCACTAGACAAGTTGTGGTTAGAAATAGAAAGTCCATTTGTTATTCCAATAAGATTTTTATCACGAAGTGAGGTTCATAAATGGCATGGCAAAAGATGAAATAAAATCTAAGAACGGGAACACATTATATATATATATATAAATACATTAATATGTATCCTTTCCTATTTTGATCAGCTGAAGTTGATAAAAATTAGATGAAGATATTTTATACAATAATTGTTACTGTAGTAATGCTTTTATAAAAATATTTTAAACTATATCTACTAGTATATGAAAATAATAACAATGCATGTAAATACTTTTATAAAGTTTTTACATAACCATTCTGTTTTCATCGATCGACAATTCCATCAAGATTACAACGCGCCCATAGCATTTGTGGCTTTGTTGAATATTGATAAAGACATCATTAAGAAATATATGATAATTTTTCAAAGAAAAAAAATAATTTCCAGGAAACTATTTTAGAATAAATTATGCCAAAACATATTTGTATCATTTGTGATTTGAATTAAAAGGTGTAAAGAAAACACAGGGAAAAAACTTTGAAATATATTTCGTAAACGATTAAGTTGTTACATAATAACATACAAGCAACATATCTGGATGGAAATGGCGGAGATGTTTGGCTAACATTTCAGAAGGATTTATTTACAGTCAATGTAATACATTTATCTTAAATGTATAATATATGGTATACATTTCATGTACATTTCGTAGATTTATCATACACTGAATGTAATACTGTTAAGTATATAATGATTATGTATGTCTGCTACATCTTACAACAGCTACGATAGAGGTTCTGATCCACTTGGAATCTACAACTGTAATTAGTTATGACCTAATTAGGTCAAAATCAGGTTAAATAATTACATGATAGCATTTAATGATAAACTGACGAATATTAATTTATATCATCATTGTTTTTTATGGTGATCATACGTGTATACAACCAATCATTTTTACAAGATTTTTATCGTATGTCCGATCTCACTTACGTATTAAAAAATCTTTAAAGCCAAAACAAATTTCATTATCGTTAATAGATTTCTGCCAACAATTCCAAACTACAAATACATCTCATCTAGAAAACGCAATAAAGTTCAAGAGTATTCTCAGACATTAAAAACTCTAGACCGTATTATCAATTTTGGGGGTAATAATATTTAAATAATTCCAAGCATTTAAATCCTTTTTCAAACGTCATTTCCTGTGTCGTATAATTGACTATAAACAACAATATTAGCCATATATAAAACACTACCAATAATAATGTCTGAATGTCACTATAATCGTAGGATTCATCAAAGATTGCATTGATATCGACAGTAATTACGTCTAAAAATACTTAATTCACAGTTGTACAATTAAACATTATCAACAACATTTTTTGCAATATCTAATTGGCATTTGTTCAGCCGAAACACTGCGGTAAGAAGCATTTATGACGTCACAATACAGCAGAGTCAAATGCAGCCGTATTAGTGTTGTACCTATATTAGGACGGCAGTTGACATATATTTGGTATCATCATGTAACTGGTGTATGAAAAAGGTTTTGCTTTCGATTTCCCATATCTCATCCATTTTTCATACAGAATGATAGCAGCAGATATATTACAAGGCATGTGTAAAAATATATGACAGATTTAAAATCTGAATCTACCGATGTACAGAATGAACTGCTGATAATGATGATTGCGAACACAGCAGATACAAATTTTGGGATACTAGACTCATTATTAATATAAAAAAAATTAATGATAAAAAATATCAGTATCATGATTTCTGGAACAATTTGGATATCTTGGATTTATATAAATTGTTTAACTTGTTTCCAATTCCAATTCCTCGGTATACTTTGCTATGTATTATTCGCATGTTGTTATGGAATTAAAATAAGTTTATTTTACCTTGTTTTGTGTTCTCTTAGCGCTGTTGATTACACTGATGGACGGCCAGGTTAAATCACACGCTAACAATAATTACTGTATCATCTTGCTGTCCATTCACATTCTCAAACCTAGCTTCTTATCATGTATCCCAGACAACTGTATTGATTTCCGGGATCGGTGGTTAGTTTGTTTAAAATTAAACCTTCTGGCCGATATTCGGCCCCATTCCCAATGCAAAATAGTATCTTTTTTTCCCTAATTTAGACCCAAAATTTTCCCAATTCTAAGGAAAACACCATTATGTTTCCCAATTCAAAGGGCCCCGGGCCCCAGTCCCAAAATGGGGTGCAAGGGCCCTGATATATATATATATATATATATATATTATTCGTTTTGTTTACGAGTTTGTTTTGTATTTTTGAACAAAACAAGTAATGACTTAACATTACGTTTTGTTCTACTGTTAAGGAGGAAATGATATTTCGCCAAAACAAATTATTGATGGTCCATTTCCTGTCCTCCTTGAAAAAAATATCTAATTTTTGTTTCCAAGGATTCAGTGGATCCATTGAAACTACATTTATGTTTGTATATATATAACAATACACGTACGTAAAATATATACAGAACATTTTAGTAGGTTTAAAACAGTTTTGTATAAAAAGTATAAAGTTAAGTACAATATATGATTGTACATTTAATACTAGCTTTGACACTATGCACCAATACAGAAATACTGGTGAAAATAGTACTAGAGTGTTGTCTTGTATTAATAGCACTTTATGTCTTTAAAGAAATGACCACTGCGACTGGCGAATGCACAGCACAAATCCAAATGGCATATCATGTTTACAGTATGAAAGAACAAACATAGCACCCTGTCTTTGGATCGAGCTCTCCAGTTATGCAGCATTTCACTTTTCCTTACGAAAATGTTGAACATTAATGTACGGCGAATCGTCCATGTGTGCGTTTGCACTGTTGAAATTTTCATATTCGTCTTGGGGTTCATCATCTATAACAGTACCTCTAGAGGTACTTCCAAAATTTTCATATTCATCTTGTGGTTCATCATCTATAACAGTACCTCTAGAGGTATTTCCAAAATTTTCATATTCATCTTGGGGTTCATCATCTGTAGTGCGGAAATTTTTATTTTTTTCTTGTGGTCCAACACCATCTGGTTTCTTGACTTTTTTTGTAACATTTTCATAATCATCCAGTGGTTCATCGTCCTTTTTAGGGTTAAGATCCACATAGTCGTCCAATTCCGAATCGTCCTGAACTTTTCCAGACATATCACAATAAAGCTCTCCACCTACACTAGAAGCTCCATCGCTGAAACCAGGATTTGTCACATCGAACTTACTTTCAGAAGTGTCTTCCTTCTTTTTCGAACTCTTTTTCTTCAGAGATTTTTTTAACTTCTTGAATACTCCCTTCTGTTCCTTGTTTTCGCCTTTTAATAAGTTTCGGTTGAGCTTAATAGCATCCGCGTTAGAGTACAAAGCCGAATCACGGTTTTCTGGCTGATCCTATGTATTAAAACATAAAGTTCAGTTACATTACATCTCATCTTATACTCATCATGTCAACAAGACTGATACAAGTAAGGCATACTAAAAGATATACGTATAACTATCATGATTATCTCTCAATGACATAAATAGGATTTTACGTAAGCAAAGACATAAATTGCAAAATTATTTGGTGATAAGTGGAGAATATAAAGAGTTACCCCGAGATTTCTCCCTCGTGGAAGAGTCGGATCCTTTGCATATCTTGTCATTTTGTCTTGGGTTTGTTGAGCTTCAGTCGATACAGCGCCACCTAGTACTGTGACGTTCTCGTATTTGCCTGGTTTTCTCCCTTTTACTTGCTTCGGAAGTCTGATGCCCATTTCTTCCTCCCCCTCCTCGTTGCCGTCGTCTTTAGCTGCACCTCTGTTTTCCTGATAAAATAAAAAAAGACATTCGAGAAATGCATCCAAATAAAAATAACCTAAACTGCTGACGAGTTATTCACAATCTATCTTTGAATCTCGTTCGACGAAGTTAGAAAGCGATAATCTTTGCCAATAAAACGCGATATTTCAAAGGCGAATGACAAGGAAAAGTACCTCGGTGCATCAAATGTGATACTTTGTTTATGACGGACAATTGCTTGAATCCCCATTTATAGAAACTTTTCCTGTTAAAACAGGCATGTACGAGAAAGATATATTAACGGCGATATCGTTGAATAGTAACAACCAGCAATTTGAAATTTCTGTCATATCTGATGGTTCCAATGTCACGCCTAAAATTGCCACCATTTAAAAAGAAACTCTGTTCGAGATAGCTACTTTTTATGAAATGCAGTTACTCTAAGGATATTTACGGATTATATAACAACTACTTGTCTTTGTTCAAGCATAGAAATACATTATTGAAATACATTATTATTCCATGTAGTATGGTTCCAACCATTAATATATATATATACTTGTATAGAAAGACCGATAACCTTTCATACCACTCTGATAGTATAAAAAAATATAAAACATCGCAACAAGTTTTTTTTACGAAGAAAACTCGTTCATATCTTCCATAAGATGTCAGGTCATATACTCACAATAATGGTACTCATACGTGATTTGGATTTCCTTTTGCGGCATCGACAACATTTGACAACTACAATCAGTATGACGACGATTATAATAACCCCTACTCCACCTCCAACAGCAGCAGCGATGATAACTGTGATGTTGTCGTCTCCGTCGTCATCACACCGAGTCATATTTGGAAGACAGGAATCAAAACACGTGCCATTAAGTTCAAACTTACAATTGCAAGTATCAATTCCACGACCGGAAGCATTGCAAGTTTTGCACGCGTTATCACATTTAACGCAACTGTCACCGTCGATATAAAATCCTTCATCGCATTTCTGTACGCAGTTGCCATTATGCCGCAAGGAGCATGTACAATTATCTCTGATCCCAGGACCTGTACAGCTCTCACAAATGCCATCACATCTTTTACAATGTCCGCCATCTTTGTAATACTTCAACGGACACGCTGTTACACACACAACCGTATAATCACGTGACACTTCCTCAGATGACGTCGTGTCATTTGAAAAACCACACGTCGGGAGCATTTCCGTTAAATTAAGAGTTAGCTGCCCTTCCAGACCAGTGTTGTTGCAGGTGGCGTTGTAGTCGTACTGTAGGCAACATTCAGACGTGATATTAGCCGACGGATCACAGAAAGGTAACCGATCATCGAGTATCATCTGCAACGCAAAATTGCAATTTAATAGTTGTCATATTGATATTATATATCTTCGGTGCATTTGATCATTGTAGATACTTAACTTCACCGTATTTAATGCGATATGCCTTGTACCTTTAGGGAACTGTCACATGATCAGAATTATTTGACTAGTGATATTAAATCAAAATCAAGTGGTTTTGTTATTTTATATGTGGTAAAAAAGTGAGAATTTCCTGGTGTTCTCTATACCTCACCGTACATTTTTTCAAGTGAAGGAAAACACTGGTCCACAAATCTTTAAGGCATGGTGAACGACAAGGTCAATATTAGGTAATATTACATTCAGGAAGGAATGAGTAAATGACGTAATGATCATGTGACATCTGAGTTAGGAGACAATGACTAAAACAGGCTTGTATCCGCTGGACAAGCAGCGTCTCTATTCCCAAAAACGGTTCAATTTCCATTTTTAAGCTTGGTATTTGAAAGGATTATTAAAAAATATCGATTGCAACAAAATTCTTAAGAGGGACATTAAAAGTGTGCTCTGTAAGGCATGTGCTAATTGAATGCATGTTTTTTTCAAATGTAGGTCAAATGTCACGATCAAGGTCATATTGTCAAAACTGTTGGACCACCGGAAAGACCCTGCCACAAGGAACACACAACCAAAAATGAAAGCCCTACCTCGTACGTGCAATAGTTATTGGCATGGTTAAGTTGGCAATAGACAAACAAACAGACAAACAATAGACAAACAAACAGACAGACAAACAAACAAACAGACAGACAAACTAACAGAACAAAAAACCCACCATCCCTTCACAAAAAGGGGAAATGTAAGTCTAACACGAGAGTGTCGCTAGATAAGCGTAAACTATATCAGATCAATGGGTAAGATAACCAACTTACCAACCCACTTCCTGGTTCAATCTGACCAATCACATACACGCCCAATCGTACGGGCGGATAAATTGCTCTTTAATGATCAAAATGGGTTTTTTGGGTTTTTTTTTAAATTTCTTTTTATTTTCTTTTTTAAATCCCAAATTCCACATTAATTCTTGTATCTTGAACGACTGTTCTCGAGATCTTTATCATTTAAAATAAATTATGACACCTTTAATAACATCTACTAATGACTTCGTTATGATATATCATGATATCTTAATAACCGTGGGACATACATCCCCGTTGAATTTGAATTAAATTATCTACTTTTATAAATGAATATTTGGATAATAAATGCAGCAAGAAATCCATTGCGGGTTAAAGATACGAACTATATGGAGGAGATCATTTTATCTTTCGTTTACGTTTGAAACAGTGATTCTAGAAAGAGTTCATAATGATAAGACACAACTAAGCAGTGCATTATCTCAGTATCGTTACAACATAGCCTTCGGTGACATGTACAACCGAGAAGATTAAAATACACAGCAATCCTTTTGAGTGTGCTAGAACAAGACAATGCACGGCAAATTTGTCTTTTTTTTTTCTTCGTTATTTTCTTACTCAAATATGGAAAATAAATTTGATAATCAACTACAAATGAGATAAAATCAGGATGTAAGAAAAAAGACCAGGAAGAATGACAAGGCTTGTAAAACAATGAAAGAGGAAATAATAAGCATTTAAAAATAAACCAAACGAGAAGGTGACAGTAAACAAAGGACACGGTCGACATAAACATGTTAGATATACAAAATAAGGTGATCCCTGAAGGAGATTATTTTTCATCAATTCTAAAGTGTCTTTAGGTTTGTTCAAATAACGAACAATTAAAAAAGTAAAGGCACTGCTTTCAAAAAATGAAATATGTATATTATATATATATAATAAGAGGGTCTGTTTCAGTGGGATTGTGAAGTTCAACAGGCTTGTTTCTTTGATATCAATTTCACGAGAACCATGTTTACGTAATAGTGACGTCATCAAGAGTAAATTATCAGGAATCTGTTTTTCATTTTTTTTTTTTTTTTTTTATCAACTTTTACTAAATACTCCTACTATCGATTTCAGACAAAACCTTGTTTCCGTCAAATCAAGTGCAGACCTGTCTCTACCAACTATCACGTTGCTCACAAATAAACAACGCGATCCTAACAGAGGTGCATTGATATCATTTGTCAAACCGGTTCCGCATCGTTAACTATACATTCTGTATACCATACTTTCTGTATTTCCACGATAAATGCAAATCTGGGGATCAAATTATATGATAGAATGATTGACTAGCAAGGATTAAGCGTAAAGATAATGCACATTTAAAAAAAAATCAGTTGTGCAGTTTCAGTATCTAGCTATGTGTGTTTGTTATCTATATTTACCCGGACACCTGTGTACAGACCAGGAAGTGTTCCGAGATAGCCTGGTGTGTCACTCCATACAAACTGTTCTAATGTAAAAACACGCAACTCCATCTGACCCTGTGTGTTTATATCTTCTATCATTCCGCTGTATACACATACAGCTATAATTTTGATATAGACGTCATTTAATCAAGATTCAATTTCAAGTATTGAAGTATATATTCAAAAGCAAATAAAAAATAAATAACTTGCAGATCACAAACCAACACAGAACAAAAACAGTTCGTGGACAAGACATACAATGCGCATCTTAAGTTTTCACTTCATTTTAACACAGTTAAACATGTACACTGCACATAAGTATCACTTAAAATCTGTCAAATGTTTCTCGGGAACAAACAGCTGACGCCTTCCCGTAGGTTCGTGCGTAAACCTATGATCACTAGTTTTACAACGTCTCTGGACTTTCTAAAGTACATATCAATTTAAAGTGTCTTCAGGTTACTGGCGAGTCCTCGGACCAAAAAGAAACTGCATAATGAAATTAAATCGATTATTTGGCTCTATAATATTTAATTACAGTTTTGTATCGAAATATGCTATATACCTGCATGTTTTTTGTATATTCTTGGTATCAGAATCATTACCCTCAGGGACCCCCTCCCTTCAACGTACACGCGACAATTCTTACATAACGACTCAAGGAAAACTGGTATATATTTTGTTGTACAAGGGCTCAAACGGGAGTTTTTGAAGCATTCTGCAAAGCAGAAAATTATTACTCTGATTTACTGAGAGATGGATTTTTTTTTAAATTTATATATGAATGTTTCACTAAACAGAAGTGACGGGAAGTGAGGACGATTTTATTATAAGGCACTTGATGTTCTGGTGACTAATAAGTCTATTGTGTACGATGGAAACACGCTACGGGGAATAATGTCCCAATGTTTGAATTTCTATCATTAACAAAATGAGATCTATGAGTAGATTTAGGGGTCGATAAACACGACATTTAATTTATTGGAGAATGACAGGTACGATTGTCTGATGGTCTTATTTCGCCGACGGGAACTTTTTCAGATAACAACAATTTGACCCACAAGAAAGTATACCGAACACAGACAAGCGATAAGGAGCGCACGTTCTACTTACGGATATTCATTTGAAATTCGTGATATGTACGTTTATATAAATAGACGTATATCCGGTAAGCATACTGTAGTAGGTACGTAATAAACTAAAAATAAAAAACAAACAAACAAAAAGCAATCATATGCGGATATACTTCATGTCAATACAGTCATATTCATAACTCAAATTCACCATTCAGTTTGCAGTTAATAGCATAAATCTACGAATATCATAAAAGCTACGTTATACCTCCTTTCTTTGGCAAAAGGTTCCAGATTAATCGTTACACTTCTCGAATTAAACGTTGAATACAACGAAGACATATATATATGTACGAAGCGCGTTACTGCCGTGCGACATGGCAATTGGTACTTGCTCGAGTTTAACGTTACCATAACGAATCAAAATAAATATCGAGATAAATGCAATCAACTTTCATCTTTTCAAATCCATCCCACAGACAAGTTAACAGTGTACATGGAATTATCGAAAAACTAGGCCACTATGCATATGTTTAATTCTACCATATTTATACCATATTTAAGTACGTTGATATACATGTAGATCATACAGCTTTCCCGAGATGTTGATTTTAAGGGCGATAAACCTGACTTACACGTTATGTTTCATTACAAATTAATCCATACCATGATAACAATAAGAATATCTAGTAAGCATACATTTTGACAATCAAATATGATCAGTGTCCCTCAGCAAACCTTAACAGATATTCTGTGTGAACAAGACAAGTATCTTGGTTTGTGTTAAAACGTCTCGTGTGCTTAGATAACAAGGTTATGATACTTGTTATAGTGCATTGTGGGTAATTTAGAAATGGCGATGATTTTAACGTACACAGACAAGTTACATATCAAAAAGGTTCTCTAATCAACATTGTCACCTACGGCAGAATCTATTATCAAGATTTTTTTCAGAAACGTAATTCGTCTTATCAGTAGCTGTTTCAAAAACTCGGTTAGGTTAATTCATTCGAATAGTGGCACGGTTGAGAATATACGCACGTACTTGTCCCTTGTTCTTAAATTATCAGATATATGAATGTTGAGAAATGTATGAATTAAGGGGCTAATGCACATCCCATCTTGATTTTGACTTTACTTTCGAACACTTTGGTCTTTCCTTAGTCGCCTCCAAATGACTTCAAAAATTAGGACCTCAGAATCACTGACGAGTCCTGGAAGGACAAAACAGCTGTATGATAAATTAATTCTTTTGCTCTACTGTATATAGCGAAGTTTTATCAAATGTGGCATTCAACCATATCTCAATCACATGCTTACTATAAATTGTCTTCATGTTCAGTTTTAGTGTCTTTCTAAATCTTATAAATCATCTGTTTACTATGTTATGTTTTCAGAAGAGCCTGGGTCAAAAAAAGACGCTAACAATGGATAATTGAGGAATTGACATGCGCTTGTATAGTGTTATCCCACTGAAATCAGACATAAAAGCCCCACACCTTCACTCCCAGACATGTCGTGCTGTAATAGGTATAAATGACCGACATTTTCTTTGTTAAAGGATATGAAATATCGATCAATAAATTGAAGGG